TCAGGTTGGGGGTTGACAAACATACCCAAGTTCAGCGATGGGATGCTCTCCATACCACGGCCCAGTTTCGCTTCCGCTCCGAGGCTCCCGGGCTGTTGAATGTATCAGCGAGCTCACCAATCGAAGGGTCGCGGCTGAGCGATTCAGCCCATGAAGGCCTGCTTGTCTTTGAAAATACAGGGACTCAGGTGGGTGAATTGCATGTTCTCCTGGCCTTCCCCTTCTTGTTGTTTGTTTGGTTCTGCGCGTCCCTGGCCCTGCGAACCGCTTCGAGATACAACTGCCGGGGCTCTTTCCAGGAACTTGCTCCACAGAAAAAAAAACATGGACCCCCAAAACCATGGTTGTTGCTGGGCAACATTGGACACATTTTTGCTTCTGGTGGTTTAGTGGTTGAAATCCAAATCCACTCAACTGCTAAGATTTTTGTTTTTGCTCCCCAAACCCAACGTCGACCAAGACACCCGCCGAAGCTCCTTTCGGGGATTTTCTGTTTGTCAATCTGCTTGGATCCCATGGGTCCCGAGAGAGGCTCGGGCACCGGGGCTCGGTTGACATAAACGGAACCACGCGGTTTTCCAGAAAACCAAACAGGGGGACGGAGCCGTGAGCCTTTAGGGTGGCAAATGTTGTTAGGGGATGAATCCAACTTTCTAGAGCTATGTAAATTAGAGCAACCATACAACCCGATTGGGTTCCAGTCGGGGGCTTACAGGAAGCGCACGGCGGTGATTTCACCGGGGCTGTGACGGATGGCCGGATCGAGACTCTGGTCAGGCAAGGGTACATGAGCTCCTCCGACACTTCGGCTATCGACGAGGCAACACAAGGTTTCAGCCTGAGCCCCACGGGGATTTTAATTTGCCCTTGGAGTACCAAAAATGCTGATGACGGCTGACTCGAGCTTTGTGGCTGTTGCCAGCTCGCTTGGTCGAGGAGAAGCCAACTGGAAGCACAGGAGAGTTGCAGAGCTTTGCGTCGAAGCGATTCATGGTGGACGTCCGTTCGTTTTGGCTGTCTGGTTGTGCCTGTCGGCCCACTTACCTTCACCGGTTTTAGTTCCCAGCCGTATTTGACTTTTGTATGCTCAGCGTTTTTGTTCGTTTATGCCATCCGCGAACTTGAACGTCAAGAAAGCACTGGTTGCAGAGCACATAATTGTGGTTTTCTCCTAGAGGAAGGCCAACAATAGGTTTGTTGGTTTGGAACACAGACCCTTCTACCACCCAGCTAGGGAGTCCACTTGTCTTTCGGCGCAGGCGGCGGTGCACTGGTTCGACGGCATGTTCCTCGCCTGCACCTTGGTGGCCAACGCCAAGTTGCAGGATCCGGCCCGGAGCTGAGCTGGAAGGACCCAAAAAAGGGATACCAAGGATACAAACGGATACAAACGGATACACCGTTTTTTTTTTTTTTTTGCAAAGGATGACCAAAGCCTACAACACCGGGTTTCATGCAATTGGTATTGACCAAAAGGACTACAAATATATACTGAGCAACACTGGTCTATACGTGCGGATAGGAGCAATTCGGTTCAGACGCATTTGGGTCCAACATGGACCCCACCAGAGACCCCCTTTCGGTTGGAAATGGTCCAAAGGAGCCCCCAGCTTGTACTCCCAAAGTTGATCAAACAGCCCATTCATGTAGAGAAGCACTTGAGCGCAGCCTTGCTGAGGTAAACCGAACAATGCGTGTGAAAGGAGTTGTGTCAACCACCCCACTTTCAAGCAGAAAGGGCGCACTTCATAAACCTTTTGCGAGACATTGTACTTAGTGCAGGTGGAAGTGAGGGACCTGAACCCTATCCCCTCCGGTCAGGGACCCAAAACCTCAGGATTCAGTGGGATCCCTTCTAGACTGGTTTCATAGAGTTTAGGGTTGATTCAATGTCAAACAGACTTCTGAAAACCATATTTTCAGTGTACCCAGGTGCCGGGCAAGCCTACCAACGAGCCCCGGTTTCGCAACGTCAAAAGACAGTCGCGGTCGAAGAGCAAGCTTTCAAGTTGGAAGACAGGCCCTACCAAACTCAGGATCAGAGACTCCCGGGCGCCCTCTTTTTTTTTGCCAGTTTAGACGTCACTTTTGGACCAAGCGTAACGCTTTATCATGACAATCATTCTTATTATTATATATTACACGTTTTATGCTTCTCGATTTAAGCACAAAATAATGTCAATATGTATATAACAATAAATCGTGTATTTTTTGGTGGCGTGAGGTTTTTCTGGCTGAAATCGAGGAACCCCGACAAAGTTTCTGTGTCACTTTCGGATATGGGTTTGCCATGAGGGAACTTCCGACCGAACATGGCTCTCAGTTTCCCCTTGCATTTCTACAAAGCAGCCACTGGGCTGGGCCGCTCCGCCGAGGGGGAGGAGGAAGGGGGGACGGCAATGTGGCAAAAAAGGCGGACCATTGGAGGACTGGAGGACCTTCAAGAGTGGGTTGGCGGACAAAATTCCCCGAATCGCCAAAGGGTCCGGCGCCCGGAAAAAGAGCATGCCGTGTGCGAAACATGGGCCAAGCCAGCGGGTTTCAGGGGGTCACCAACCTGACAAATGGCACCCCCATGCACTAACATGGAACCTGATGTTTCGGGGGTCCTGGAAAGCCATTGTGGCTTTAAACGGGACCCGCCAATTTGGTGGGTTCCATGGCAACGTACCAGAGAATACCGGGCCTCAGTAAACAAAATTAACAAGAAAACCATGGCAGGTGAGCCACAATCAAAACCCGGGTAGATGAACGTTAGGAAGGGACAATCCCAACCATAAATAGTTGCTCTTAATTCTTTACGTGGTTCTGGGTAGACCATTTTGATACCGGGTTTTGATTTATGACTCAGGTGAACATGCGGCAGCTCACTGCCGGAGACGCTCGGCAGAAAGACGACTCCGGGGGTTCCGCGGTCAAGCAGCAGCCGCGGGTGTTTTCTTGACAGCTTGGGATCTTGAAATGCCATCGGGCTTGAACAGGGTTGTGGAAACATGGACTTTTTGTTTTTGTTTTCTTTCCCGCACTTCTGTGGTACCAAGAAGCCTCCCATCCCCCCCTTCCCACTTCTGTGATGCCAAGGAACCCCTCCCCCCCCCAAAAAAGAAAAGAAAAACGCGGCCCCTTAAATGGAGAATTGGTCCCTATAAAAAGGCCTCCCAGTCACCAGAGGTGGGACATTCGACCGCAACTTTCGGTTTGGATCTTTTTTGTTGGAGAAATGGGTATGGGTCAAAATGAACAACCACCAGGAAATTGGACCGCTGGTTTTTGCCTCCTTTGCAATGGAACCTGGGCAGCTCTTTCTGGGGTTACCCGATTTTTGACCCACAGAATGATGATCTTCACACTGAACTGCAAAAGCAGTGATACTTTTTGGGCAGGCCGTAGCCATCGTGTAAGTTGCTTCCTTCAACATGCTTTACGCGGCGATTGCTTTTTTCCGGGCAAAGTGGTAAGTAACCCTGGCTGCAAGCAGCCCATTCAGAAGACTTGCAGATGGAAATGGGGTCTGGGGTTAGCATCAAAGCCTGAATTGGAAGTTACTTGCTGGTGCTCAGCAGGGGATGACATCCCTTGGTTTCTTTGAAGGGGACCAATTCCTGGGTTCATTCAACCACATTCCCCACTTATCGCACCAGAGAGGTTATTAGGTAACACACAAACATGAGTGGTCCCAACCGATGGCCTATGCCCAAGTTTACTCACCGGGGACTCCTCTACTGGTCATGTTTGAACGGAAGGAGCCCACGTGTCCGATACTCTGAAAAAGGGGCGAAACGGCCGATGGGTCCTGAAAGTCAATAAGTGGAAGGGCCGAATGAGCTCGGTGATTGGAACCACTCTGTGCTTGTCCGCAAATGAACCTGCGTGCCACATGGGATGGTTCCAGAAACGGGTGGCCTGCCTTTTTCTGGCTGGTTTAAAGGGGGACCAAAGGAAGCAACCCATCGAGAAACATGCACTGTGGATAGACCAAATCCACTTCGCACCAGTTGCCAGGTTTTCAGGTGGTTGCAGTCTTCATAAGGCTTTGTCCATTGGTGCAAGCACGGGGAACCTCAGCAAGGATACTCTCGCTCACTCCGATCGCATGAGGAGTGCGCCTCGCAGGAAGCCCCAGGTCGCACACGACACCTCATGACCCCCCCCCCCCCGAAGTGTTTGGGGTCCGCAATTTTAAAACACACAAGCAACTGCATGGCGCAGACTTTGTGTAGTGGCCCCAGCTCCTTTGCTCAGGATCATGTTCCGAACTTCAGAATGATCAAGCCGCAAGGGCGGAGAGTCCCAGACCTCCAGAGCTGACCTGGTCTTCTTTCTTTTCTGAGTGGATTTTCCATGAACGCGACTGACAGAAGAGCGTCCGGCTGATTTCATGATGATCAAAGTCAGAGTTGGCATTTCTCCTTGCCCGGGCCTTTGAAATCGGACGAATGGAATCCGACCTCTGGGTGAATTTTGATGACGGAAGCGTAGCCCAGGCTCCGGAGGCTTCAATTGCAAGTGAACCCGCATCCAACGCCAGATTGGCATTGCAGTAAATCGCAGGGTTGCCAAGTTGCCGTACTTGCAATAACTGTTGGTAGCCCTGAACTAGCCGTTTGGCTTCTTTTTGAACAGGTTTTTGCTGGTTCCCTGCTATTCCGAGAATCGGCTAGCAGGCGCCCAACTCTTCCCCAAGGTGGCTGCCAAAGGGTTCATCCCCCAAACATCGATTTAAAGGAAGCCATGAGACGTAGATGCGCGTTTCAGCAAACGCCTATGTCCAAGTTGGATTCAGAATGACAAAGCTAAGCAGGAAATGCCTCTAAAATGCCTCAATCCCCCTCACTGAAGATGGAACGGTTGGCTTTCCTCGAGGGATTTCATACAGGGACACTGGGTATTTTCGGGATATGTCCCACTTCGGTGATACCAGGCAAGCTCCTTGGGAAGAATTTAATCTGGAAGACTTTCCAGGAACCCTGTTTTCAGGGTCTGCTTTTGGAATCAAACACATGCAGCGCCCTGTTCCCCGACCGGGTGGGGCGTTCTTTTGAAGTCAGGCACAAAGGCGGCACAGTTCAAACAAGAGACCAACACAAAAGTAGCAAACATCAAGCAACAACAAAGTCGGTTCAAGCAAGAGACCAACACAAAAGTAAAAGACACCAACACAAACATATCAAACTTCACGGCCCCCACACTGTGTGCTCTTGGTCTGTGAATCCAACTGCCACACTCTGTGTGCCTCCGGTGCCCTCCGGGTCGGCCCGGGAGTTCGGGGAGTTCGGAGTTCGAGGCTGGACGCCTACCTTTCCGAGCACCAGCTCCCGCCGGTCCATGTTGCTGAGGCCGCCCCGTTTTTGTTGCTGTTTGTCTTTCTTTGTCTTTGTTGTCTTGTTGTCTTTTTCTCCACCCGCCAGGAAGGGGTTGTTGGATTTTATGTTGGAATCCGCGTTTGCGATGCTTCTACACCACGCCCCCACCCAGTATCCCGCCAGAGCAGTTCGCCAGTGGATCCCGCCGAGTATTCCGCCAGAGCGGCTCGCCAGTGGATCCCGCCGAGTATCCCTCGCCAGTGGATCCCGCCGAGTATCCCGCCAGAGCGGCTCGCCAGTGGATCCCGCGCGGGATCCTGCCGAGTATCCGGCCAGTATCGAGCCGAGTCTCCGGCCAGCCAGTATTCGCCAGTGGATCCGCCAGTATTCCGCCAGAGCAGCTCGCCAGTCTGGTTTTGCTTAATGTCCAAAAGCGCCGATAGGAATTTGGAGTCTAAGATGCGGAGGAATTTGCTGTACCTGTTTTTGTTTTTGAGGGGAGACCAACAGGAACACAGAGGCCATTTTGGAGGGTTGGGTCCCTTAAAAAAAAGCACCGAAATGCACTAGAGGGCGGCGTTTTTCCAAGGTGGCCGGGTGCTGATTACTGCTGTTTTTTTTGGCCCACTCCAGTCCGGGCAAGCGATGTCACGTTCCGGGGGGTGGGGGTTGTGACATCACCCGAGGCAAGAAGTCCTTCTTTTTTTTTTGGTTGGTGAACTATTCCAATCTACAAAGAAATCATGGGAATTCGAAATTACACCCCTGATGAACAGGGCGTCCCATTTTGCCATTTTGTGGGGAGCCTTGGTTTTGGTGGTGGATTGGTTAGGGAAACAAATTTGCGTGTTCCTCAAAGGGGAATCAGTCCCGCATCATCGCCCCAGTTTCCTTTTGGTTTCCATTTGAGTACTAAAAGGGGTCCGTCGTTTTCAGAATCTCCCAGAATTTTGACCACCCCAGTGACGCCAAAGTGGGGGAGCCTGAGCCTCAATTTGGGCGGTTTTCCGGAAAACACTTCTTCCATTTGTTGAAGAACAACTTGAATTTGCCCCTTCTTGGTATTAAAGTTCGAATAGTTTTCACTACTGGCCACAAATGTAGTTTCATTTTTTCCCAGGTGGCTGACGCTGAAGCAAAGGGAAGTGACTTCTGAACCAAGAGTTGTCCATGTCACGTGGTTTTGTTTGGAGAGCTGTTCCTTTGCCCCCTCGTCATCTCCGGGCCTCGTCTGCGTGCATCGCATCCGACGAGGCCCAAGCCCTCGCCGGCGGCTCCGAGAAAAGTCGCCTCGGGGAGCTGAGTGGACAGGCGGCCTCGATGCTGAGGAGAGGCGGTGGGAAATGGCCGGGTTTGGTTTGTGCCCCGAGACCCAGACCCTTCAGGTGGAGGTTGGAAAAAAGGGTGTCCCTTTTTGGTCCCCAAAAAAAGAATGGTGTCCCCGTTGGGTTTCCAGATATCACAAAAAGTGGGCTCCCGATTAGTAGGATGTTTCTTGTTGAACAATCCAGGGCTTCCCTTGCATCAGTCCGAGGATGCGCCGAAAACCACCTGAGCGCCTACACCCACCATCCTTTCGATGCTTCTACCTGGCGGGAACGTGAACAGGTTTCGGGCGGGGGATCTTTCCACACAGAATGATGTATTTGTCCTCCGATCGAAAGGGCTTTGTTTTTTCTCCTTTGGTTCGGTTCATTTGGGTCATTCAGCAAGAGTTGTTGGCTCATACACATAAATAGGTTTGGAGGTTTTGCTGGCGTGTTGTTGCTCCAACCATTCTTTTCCGCTCTGGTTTTCCTCGTCCTTTTGTTTGCTTGCAGAGGGGTTCCCCAACAGCACCCAGGCTGGGAAGTCACTCTTTCGGAAAAACGACAAAACCTGAAGAGCCCTTAGGAAAGACATGGAACCCACTTAGCATAACTGTCTGCGTTTTTTTCTCCCCCTGAGATGCGCCCCGAGCCTCTTTTGGTTTCAGAAGACTACTTTGCTTTTCTCGCTTCCTGAGTGTCTGGACTTGTAAGCTGTGGTAAACAGTTTAGGCTCTCCGCTCGATCGGAAGCGAGTTTCAGCAACGAGTTGCGTCAGAGGCGACCTCTGGCGTTTTCGTCGCGAGGATCATCTTCGACGAAGGCTCCGCGTCTTTGGTCACGCCTCAAGCTCCGGCTCCAGCGAAGGCGAGGGCTGTGCCCCGGCGCCGCAAGCGAGGCCGTCGCAGACACAACCCCCGGTTTTTTTCTTCCCACATGTTCATTTGTAGGGCCTTTCAGGTGGCGAAGGCCCAAACAATTGGCTGGTGTTTCCATCAGTGGCCCAAAACTAACCAGCTAGGGTTACGCAGATTTTGGCCTTGTTTCCACTTGCCAGCATTCCATTTTGGTACCGTTTTTTTTGAGCCATATCCATATGTGTTTCAAAAGGGGTATTCCCAGCCGACTGCAAGTAGCCTGCCGAATCCCGCAAGAATGGAGGATCATGTCTGCAGTACTCACTGTGCTCGCTGAGAACGCCCGAAAATCTATAGCGATACCCCAAGAATCTGGGTACCTTGAAAGGGAAGACCAAAACCCATGTCCCCTTCCAGACAGGTACCCGTTTTTTGGTGGTTTTTGGGGACCATGTTGGGGGAGACCCCCTACAAACAGACCGACCCATGTCCCCTTCCAGGCGAGCCACCAAATCAGGAGGGCATAAGTTTCGACTCGTCGGTAAGACCACCGCTCGCACAGGTTTATGGGACACAGTCCCGAGCCAAACCGAAGATTCCGGCCTGTACCATCTGGGTTGGATCTGCAGACTTCAATTGGGACGACGAAGAAAGAAACACCGAATCACTCGTTGTCCAAGGAAAATTCTACATGGGCGTTTCCAACTGTTTGGGAAATGATTCAATGATGAGTTGTCCAACGCGACCATATTTCAACTTTTTGCCCACGCAGCCAAACAGATTCCATGTGGGTCTTTTAGCCACAGACTTCGCGTGGACTTGTGGAGTCTCCCGGATGCAGATCCGCTTCGCCTTCAGGCGCCTTCAGGTTACCAAGCGGCCACAGACGAGGGGACAGAAGCGGCGAAAGATGCGGACGCCGGCAAGAAGCGGCGCTGGGCACGGAACAAGGCAGCATAGTTCAAAGTATGGCAGCCATGCTTGGGTATCCTCCTGTCCACGTTGCCATGGAACCCACCAGAGAAATGGTCCCTTTTAAAGGAAGATCGTCCAAACCAGGGCCAATTCCGAAACGTTTCGTTCCATGCGAGTGGGCAGGAGTGTACCCTAGAAACCAGCTCCAGGAACATGTTCTTCAGGAAATATATCAGGGAATTGACGAAGTTCCTGTAGCTGGTTTCTTCGGACGTCCCATGTAAGATCAACGGTTTCCGTGCCTCGTGCTCATAGACAGGGTCTGCTCCCCCAAACCGTTTCAAGACACACGCACGTGTTTGGCGAATCGGTTTCGCATGTTGGTTTCACCCTAGAAGGCGGGAGGGAGCCTGAATCGTAGACAGATGCCCAGTCGCCTGGAGATCATGGGGAGTCTCTGTTTCCGTCCAGATTCCAACATCATCCCTCTTGCTGTCTCTTGGGTTTGACCCAACTTATTGTCCCTCAGCCAATCGGAAATCCATGTTTTTCCCTGTCAAGCTGAATTTCTTGGGGTCAAAAAAGACGAAAACGCGGTCGGAGCCGCGCTTTTAAATGGCCAGTTCGGTTTCCAGAAACCACGCCCCGGGCTTGGATGGCACCTGGTAAGTATCCCCCACCATGATGTCACCTCAGTGGCTTGAACATTTACTAGGCCCAGTAGTGCCCTTTCCCTTTTTTTGGGGAGGGTTCCCCTACTTAAATGGACTACAGAAAAAGAGGTACCCTTATTCTAGCCTCTCTACTGGAGGACCTAGTCTAAAGCAAGGGCATGAGAAGGGACTAGAGAGATCCAATATCACGGTGGTGATATTTGTTCTTGATGCCTATGCGACGAGTACCAAACGTCAAAGGATGCGTCTTATTGGCGAGCTCACCGTTGACTTGGGGATCCCTGATTTCAAGTCTCGGATATATGTTCACCTAGATCCCCCAGTAGTCCTCTTTTACCCTTTTTTGGGGGTGGGTGCCCCTACTAAAACAGACCACCGAAAAAAGGGCACCCTTATTCTAACCTCTCTACTGGAGGACCTAGTCACACATGCAGATAGTTAATATGCGATCCTGGCGCGTGCGCCGCTCTTGGTACGAGACGGCTGATGGGTCAATTAACCAATCAGAACGGCTTACCCTTTCTCTGGCAGTCGTGGGAGAGGGCAATTGCAAGGGTATTACTGGTAACCTTTCAAAGCCCTGTTGTGCACTGCCATGATTGTTTCCCCAGCCACCAAAAAGGCCTTTCAGTGCCGCATCCCTCTTTCCCGGCCACAAACGTTGCACCCCCCTCTCTTTCCAGTTGCCAAGCCCTTTGAAAAAGGGCAGGAAACAGAGCCGATCTCCTCAGCGTGCATCGTGACCGTGAGAAGTACGCGAAAAGCGGCGCGGTTGGTGCGGTTGGCCGCGGTTTGCTGCGGTTTGGGATGGATGAAACCCTATGAATGATGGGACAAACCACCTAGCAGTTCAAAAGTTTGCCCATAGACATCTCAGCATGGAACCCCAATAGTATCATTCAACATCTGTAGTTCCAGGGTTCCGTGAAAAGAGATTGCGGCTTGGTGATGCACGCGCGCACTGCTGGCAGTGTTAATGCTCCCCACATCTTCCTCACGTTTTCCGGTGAGCGCAATTTTCGGCCTTTGACCAACAACAGTTCAGATGGAACGCATCATCTGTGCCTAGCTACAGGTCCCCCACGGAACTCTCGCGGGCAGAACTAGGCAGATTGCAACCGGGGGAAATCTCGTGGGCTGCTTCTCCCGAACGCCTGTCGCCATATTTTTGTTCGGTTGTCACAAGGAGGGTTGCCTTTAGGTTTAATTATGTTGTTTGGTCGCTTGGAGGGGAACCGACCCATTTTGAGCTCCCATGATGCTAGTAATGCTGGCAATGCGGTGATAGTGATGCTGGTGATGCAGGCAATGTGCCAAAATCAATTTCCTCATGACGCTGCTTCGTTCAAAGGAACAAATGTCTTTTCAGCTTTCCCAGCTATCCCAGGTCTGTGTCCTTTGGGTTAGTTCATGAAGGATGCGGTCCAAGGTTTCACTCTAATGAGAGCTGTTCCTCCAGGCCCCGGCTTCATTCCGACGTTCTATTCAAAAAGCCACCCGTTTGACCGAGATCGAACTTTTCTGAAAAGGATCGCAGAATGGGAAGGTAGCGAACACCTAAAAACCTAAAACTACGGATGTTCTTCCCCCCACACCCCCAAAAAAGCAACCTTTGTGGTTTCCCCTAGTCCACCTGCGCAATCAGGGTTGTTCACAGTCGCACGAAACCTCGAAACCCCGAGAAACCATCAGCGCTAGAGGCCATGCTGAGCAAAGGGATGTTGCCCAACAAATACATATATATATATATATATGTATCCACATATCCGTGTGACAGTTGTTGGACATACAGACAGATCGACTAGAAAGGTGATTGACAGGAGAAAAAATGAAGACACACATGGATGAATCAACACATAGGAAGTGTATCATACAATGGAGTCACTAGACAGATCAAGCACTAGATAGATATAACTTATAACTACCTACGTGTATATGGAATAATAAATAAATGAATATATATATATATATATACATGTATATGTATATAAATATATATATATAAGAGTAATAATAATAGTAATAATGGTAATACTGATAACAATCATAAAAAATATATATATTAATAATAATAAAACATCTTCCGGTGGCGCTTTTTATGCGCCCGGGCGCCTTGAAGCCAAGGACGCAGCGGCGCGGACGTGCCGGCGCACGCGGCGGCCATCGGCGCGTGCGAGACCAGCCACGAGTGGCAGCAGGCGAAGGGCGTGGGTGGGATGGGGTGGTGGGGTCGTTTTATTTTCAAAGGGGTCATAGTCAAGGGGTCTTTTTTGTTTTTATTTTCTTTTTCTTCTTCTTCTTTTTCTCTGATGGGGTACAAAAACCAGAAGGGGTGCTCCCTGGGATGTAGTTTTAGCACTGCAAAGCTCACAAAACACTGCGAATACCATGGTTTTGTGCATGTGATCTAGGCGAAACACGCGTTTTTGCTTGTGCAAGGCATCTGGTGTCTGCATCTGAGCATCCTCTGGTCAAAAAAACAATAAAACCTCGAGAAAACCAAAAACAACAAACCAACTAAAACAACAACAACCAAAAATACACACACACACACACACACACACACACACACACACACACACACACACACACACACACACACACACACACACACACACACACACACACACACACACACACACACACACACACACACACACACACACACACACACACACACACACACACACACACACACACACACACACACACACACACACACACACACACACACACACACACACACACACACACACACACACACACACACACACACACACACACACACACACACACACACACACACACACACACACACACACACACACACACACACACACACACACACACACACACACACACACACACACACACACACACACACACACACACACACACACACACACACACACACACACACACACACACACACACACACACACACACACACACACACACACACACACACACACACACACACACACACACACACACACACACACACACACACACACACACACACACACACACACACACACACACACACACACACACACACACACACACACACACACACACACACACACACACACACACACACACACACACACACACACACACACACACACACACACACACACACACACACACACACACACACACACACACACACACACACACACACACACTTAAACTCCAGATGGAGAGTGCTAATCTTTCGAGTACAACTGATGAGTCTCGAGTACAACTGATGAGTCTCGAGTGGGTGGGGTTCGGCTCGCAATGCACTCGGTTTCACTCTAGTGTCGAAAACGTTACCAGTTCCAACATGAAGCACACACAGCGAGCGAAAGGAGAGGGCCAAAAAGACTTTCAGAATCACGCAAATGTTGCAGGTACGCACGGTTGATCAATCCGTGCATCCACCATCAAGCATAGCTTCGTTGGCCAGCGTTTGCTTGATGGCCGCTGGCCCCCTGCTGCAACAGAAACCGGTTGTGGTGGCAGGGTTTTCTGCCACTCCGCACACACACACGCCCCTCTACGAGGGGCGAGGTTTCTCTTTTCTCCTGCAGGAAGATCACATGCTCAAACTCAAATCTCCATCGTTGACCAAAACATCCTCCACGGCGAGGGGAGCGAGACACTGCCCCAAACCGCTCAGAAGACGGGAACGAAAGATCACAACGTTGAGCATTGCGAGTGTCGCCATAGAGGACTGAAGCGATCTGCGAAGCAGCCGGGCGATCACCATGAGAAAACGGAGTGGCACAGGTGAAGGTCTCCTCAACTTGAACGGCATCGGAGTTTCGACCTTGCCCAAGAGTCTGATCATGTGAACAGTGAGTTGCGAAGGACTCAATCCGAGACAGAATGCGCTGGTACCCTTGGTGTTGCCAGTCACGGATGTCCCATGCCTGGACTGGCGCATCGGGATCCGTCACCCGCTGCCATTCACGAAAAGAATTCTCAGGCAGATCAGGTACGGCGTCACCACGGTGCCATCGTTGAGGTTGTCCCGGAGTGCACATCCGCACCCACTCCTGATCATGCCAGACCGAACATTCGAGCCATGGATACTGCTTGGAATCATCGATGTCCATGTCGAGGCAAGAGGCAAGGATGGTCGCGGGCTCCGATCCAGCTAGCAGATGAACAAGCACCATGCACAACCATGTTCAAACAACAGCAAAGCAAGATCATGCAAGTGCAGAGGCCACCCTCATTTTGTACGCTGCGCTGCTCATGCAAGTCTAGTCTTCAGTCAGCTCGAAGACGGGCCTCATCTTGTCTTGGCCGCTGTCGGACGGATTCACGGGCCTGTAGGGGTCGGAGACCCCAATCGTCTCCGATGGTGTGTTTCCACGCGAT